CAGAGCGAGGGAGGTGAGGAGGGAAGGTCAAGGGGGCAGCGAGCAAGAGGAACCACGGTTTATCATCTGAGGTACATCTGAGCTGTCTGAGGTAGCTGAGGAAGAGGTACATCTGAGCAGAGCTAACACACGTGCTTTTATCATCTCACTCACATCACATGCTTTTATCATCTCACTCACATCACATGCTTTTATCATCTCACTCACATCACATGCTTTTATCATCTCACTCACATCACATGCTTTTATCATCTCACTCACATCACATGCTTTTATCATCTCACTCACATCACATGCTTTTATCATCTCACTCACATCACATGCTTTTATCATCTCACTCACATCACATGCTTTTATCATCTCACTCACATCACATGCTTTTATCATCTCACTCACATCACATGCTTTTATCATCTCACTCACTCAGGTCTACTCACATCTCTGTGATCATGCCCTGAGCATCGCACGTGACGTTGCTCGCATTGTCGCAGTCCCCACCAACCACCCAGCCGTCAAACGTTGTGCTCCACTCCTTCTGACAGTCCAGCAGGACTTGGGCTGGCAGCGGCAGAGGGGAAGGGGAGAGAGGAAGAGAGGAGAGAAAGGGGGGCGTGGAAGAGAAACGAGAAGGGCGTGTTGTGTACAGAGGGGGGAGGGGATGGGCGTGGCAGAGAAGAGAGTAGGGCGGGGCGTGGCAGAGAGGAGCGAAGGGAGTGGAAAAAAGGGACTCAGACGGTCTACCAACGACCCCCTTCGCATGCCCTCGCACCACTCTCATCACAATCCTTACCACCTCACCGCATTCCCTCCCACCTCATCACATTCCCTCCCACCTCCTGCCACTGTACAGGAAGGGCGCTGGAGGAACGAGGAAGGCACAAGGACGAGTGAACAGGGAAAGGTGGACAAGCCACCAGATTTCAACTTTAATGCGCCTCCCCTCCTCTCCCCTCCCCTCCCCTCTCCTCCCCTCTCTTCCCCTCCCTTCCCCTTCATTCCCCTCTCCTCTCCGATCCTCTCCGCTCCTCCTAGTATCCTCCTCTGAAACAAATGCAGTTCGGCTACAGTTATCTCAAATATGATGCTGCCGTGGATCGCGCAGAGCACATGATGGCCAAAAGCAAGCCCGTGTTCGCTTGAGTGTGAGGCACGCGCGCGCATACGCGTTCAATGATACATACCTCATTATCATACGCGCCCATCATGAGACCTTATCATCATACGCGCGCATCATACATGCGCATGTTCAGTGAGTCATTGACTGGCAAATGAACATCATCGACTCATGCTTACTATCACTGGCATTTCAGGGCGGCACGCACCCTGTGACTTGGCGAAAGGCACGCATTCGACGCGTGAGACCGCGTGACACGTCAGCAGCAGCAGCGCGCCGAGCAGCAGGGCTGCTGCGGGCTTCATTACGCCCCCACGGTTGCGGCAAGCCGCGGGTCCTCTACTCTGATGCATCAGCGACTCGTGTCGACAAAAATGATGTCATTTTGGGAAAATAAAACACCAAATGTATGAGGTCAAGAGAGGAAAACAAAAAACCGTGTCACCGACAAATGGTTTAGACAGATTCTCAAGACAACCGTCTATAGCGAAGATGGATTCTGGAAGTAGATTGTGGCTAGCTAAAGTATAACCTCGACACAATTGACGAGCAAAGTGGTGTTTCAAAAAGGGGCGTGAAAGGGACCTCAAGTGTATACACTCGCTTTAGAATCACAGCGCTTAGCGTCTTAACGCGGTATTTTATTGGGCGGAATATGGTGCGAACAGAATCAGAAGTTTGACGTGGCATGGATTTTGTTGCCATCCCATTGGAAAGACCGAAACCGAGATGTCCATCAGTTTGGTGATCCAGCACATCATCCACCACCTCAGCCAATCCCAAAAGTTCATTCCTCCCCTCACTTGTTGCCTGCTTGAACCCGCCATGAACTCTCATTGGCTGCTTATGTGAAGCTGAATTCAGGGGGGGTGCCTGCCTGCCTTCTCCCAAGCCTCTCGATGTGTTTTGGGACATCCTGCTAGAAACGAGTTTCGGACAACTTTCACCCTGCCACCGCAGGGTGCCCAGCGAAATATATGTTGCGTCTTGAAAGAGGCTATTACGCAGAAACATGAAATCGCAGAGACCTATATTCAAGACAAGTCATGGTAGGGCTGCATTACCGTCAATGCCTGCTTATGCAAGGTGATACGAGAAAGTCGCTCTGAAAACAGGGATAAAATGGTAAACCGCCCTGATTTCTGAGCCCTGTCCCCCACGAGATTTCCCTCGGCGGCGCTGCCTTCCCTCACGGGTTCGGTGCAAGCTGTGCGCTGTCCCAACCCAACTCTCACGTTCATCCATTTTCATCCAGGCATGGCATGGGATGCCCCCCAAATCCCTCAACACATGCCATCCGTTCAACTCCTACCCACAAATTGCGACTGCCTTCCATATTATTCAACCACTCCTTTCAGGGACAGCCCACCAGCAGATCCAACTGAGGGCGCGTAACTACTTCCGTCCGGACGGAGCCCGTTCGGACTCTAGTAGGTTACGTTCTTCGTCACAGTTCGTGAGGAAACTCGCCAGCCCCCCCGTGACGTCGCCACCGTCCGGACCAAATCTGACACTTTTCCGTAAAAAACGGTCCGGACGAACGGGGCTGACACCGTCCCAATGGCATGTCGGACCGTCCGTCATGTCTTAGCTGTCATTGGGGAACGATCAACTATATCGTTTCGCCCCATTTGTGGTACGTGTCGCTTAAATTTTGTAATTCAATAACTAAAAACATTTCCACAAATGTGGTCCTGACGGTTTCGAAGCCCCGTCCGGACTTTGGACCCGGACGGAAAAGTTTACGCGCCCTCAGCCATATGCGTTTTTTCCTGACACCCCACCTTCCCCTCCTGTCCTTCCTCTCTGTAAGCAGCCAGTTCTCCAGCACAATATTCCGCTTCCTTTCTTCAGCTGCTATTTACCGCGAAGTAAAATGATACGATTTTTTAGACGCGCTGATAATTAGAAGTTATAGATAGAGAGTTTGCCGGGCTTGCCGCGACCATCGCGACGTGATGAAGCCCTCAGCAGCCCTTCTGGTCGGCGCGCTGCTGCTGCTGACGTGTCACGCGGTCTCACGCATCGAATGCGTTCCTTTTGCCAAGTCACAGGGTGCGTGCCGCTCGCAATGATTGGATCATCATCATCCGATGTTCGTGAGCCAATGCGGCGCCAAGCGTGACGTGCGCGCGTGCTGAAAAACATTCAAGCGCCTTCTGGCGGCGTCACGCGCCCCACACTCAAGCGATGATCCCCGGTAGCATCATATTTGCGATAATGTGCATTCGATTAGGAGAGAAGCAGAGAGAAATGGATACATGAGTGGAGGGGGAGGGGAGAGGAGGGGGAGGGGAGAGGAGGGGAGAGGAGGGAAGGAGAGAGGAGGGGGAGAGAGAGGGGAGGGGATGGGGGGGGGAGAGCGCAATGATTGAGAATCTGGCGGAAGAGCATGTGGAGAATGTGATGAGGTGGGAGGGAATGTGATGAGATGGGATGGAATATGCTGTGAGAGGAATGTGAAGGTGGGAGGGATGTGATGGGAGCGGTGCTTTGGACCATCGTCCGAGTTCCCGCTTGTTCCACTCGCTTCCCTCCTCTCTGTCACGGCCCTCGTTCTCTCCTCGCTGTCACGTTCCGCTCCACTCTACCCGGCCCCTTTTCTCTCCTCTCTGCCACGCCTCGCCCTTCCATCCTCTCTTCCACTCCCCCTCCTTCCTTCGCCCTGCCGCCAGCGCAAGTCCTGCTGGATTTTCAGAAGGCGTGGGGCCGCCCCACGTTTGACAGCTGGGTGGTTGGTGGGGACTGCGACAATGCGAGCACCGTCACGTGCGACTCCCAGGGCATGATCACAGAGATGTGAGTAGACCTGAGTGAGTGAGATAAAAGCATGGCATTGATGTTTGACATGTGAGGGGACCTCTCTCAGTGAGGTGATAACAGGATATGAGACCTTTGTGAGGTGATAACAGGATGTGAGACCTTTGTGAGGTGATAAAAGCATGGCAGTGGACCTTGATGTTTGACATGTGAGTAGACCTTTGTGAGTGAGAGGAGAGGATGTACGCATGTGAATAGACGTTTGTAAGTGACTCAATTATGTGGACACAGGTGGACACAGATCAACGCATGGAAAATCTCTTAACCTCAAACCCTAAACCCCGAACCATTTGAGTCAGGCGAATTCTTCTCGCCTCTCCGCCCCCTCAACCCTTCCTCCCTCTTTCTGAAAAGTAGCACCAACTCGCTAGCATGCAATGGCTCAAGGCGTGAAGAAGCTCGAGGCGAGCAGCGGCTCCACTCGCTGCTCATGTCTACCGTCGCTCCTTCAGCCATTCCCCCCTTCCCCCCGTCGCTCCTTTCAGCCTTTCACTCCTTTCCCTTTCCCCCCCCTCCCCCTCCCCCCCCCCCCCCCCCCCCCCCCCCCCCCCCCCCCCTCTCTCGCCCCCTCCCCCTCCCCCCCCCCCCCCCCCCCCCCCCTCTCTCTCGCCCCCTCCCCCTCCCCCCCCGCCCACTCCCCACCCCAACAACCCCAACCCCTCCCTTGCCTTTCTAACCTGTCCACTCGCCCACACCCTCCCCCTTTTCCCCGTCCACTCACCCCCACTTCTTCCCCCCTCTCCAGCCCCTACCTCTCACTGCCTTCCTCTGTTTCCCTGTTCCCTCAACCTCTATCTCCTTTCTCCCCTTCCCTTGGTACTCTCCCTTCCCATGTTGCAGTTAAACCCTTCAGCAGCCCGCTAAGCCGATGTCTGTGCTATTCAAAGATACTGGAAACTACCAGCCCGCTAAGCCAATTTCCTGCCGTTCTTCAGATCGCCTTTTTAACATGCACGCATTCAGACCACGGATGTCACATGAATGCATGCAGCACATGCATGTAACATGCACGCATGTAGCATATCTCTCTTCATTTCTGTTGCCCGTTTCACTTTCCGATCATCAGAATTATTTCCGACGTGAAACTAAACGGCCCGATCCCCGACTCCATCAGCAACCTCCAAAGCCTTGCCTCATTGTGAGTGCTGCTCCTCCCTGGGTGGACATGGGTGGCCATGGGTGGCCATGGGTGGCCATGGGTGGCAAAGGGTGGCCATGGGTGGCCATGGGTGGCCATGGGTGGCCATGGGTGGCCATGGGTGGCCATGGGTGGCCATGGGTGGCCATGGGTGGCCATGGGTGGCCATGGGTGGCCATAGGTGGCCATGGGTGGCCATAGGTGGCCATAGGTGGCCATGAGTGGGCATGTGAGGCATTCTCAAGTGGACATGTGAAGCACTCACATCACACCTTCTCAGTGCTCCTCCTTCTTGGGTGTCTGTTTCTGGAGTGCCACAAACAGATGGGTTTAGGGTTTAAAGATTGCTTCAGAGATTTTGAGCTTGTGAGCCTTATTGTTTCATAGGAGGTTTCACTTTGATGGTCACGGTCGTAAAAGCTCGTAAGTTGGCCTTTCGTCTCTCCTTACAACCCTCCTTCCTTTCTCGAGTGCAGGTATTTATGGAACACTAGCCTGACTGGCCCGATACCAACCACTATTGGCAACCTTCCAAAGCTGACCGACTTGTGAGTTTCTCAAACAGACAGGCTACTATGCGTACCTCGTAATCTAGGCTCATCTCTTTTATTATAACACATTATTTTGTCGTAACACGGATTGCGAAAACATCAAATACAGAACGAACTCTCCGAGGGCACGAGAAAGTCGGTTCCACACTCACTTATAATAAATAAATGTACCGCCGATTCTACCTCTGAGTATCACACCGAATTAAGCTGCGCTGGTGCCAACCAAACGTACCACTTGGCTTGAGTTGGTGCACGCTCGTCCCTTACACAAGCCGCGGAGAGCGGAGCCAAGCCGAGCAAGTCCAGATTAAGTCTGAAATCACTTCCCACTATGAATGCGTGCCCCTCAAGTGTTGAGTCGCTCAACTTCCTCTGTATGAATGCCCTCCGTTTTCATTTGCTATCTATTCTTGCCCTCATTTCTTCATTTGCCCTCATTTCTTCATTTGCCCTCATTTCTTCATTTGCCCTCATTTCTTCATTTGCCCTCATTTCTTCATTTGCCCTCATTTCTTCATTTGCCCTCATTTCTTCATTTGCCCTCATTTCTTCATTTGCCCTCATTTCTTCATTTGCCCTCATTTCTTCATTTGCCCTCATTTCTTCATTTGCCCTCATTTCTTCATTTGCCCTCATTTCTTCATTTGCCCTCATTTCTTCATTTGCCCTCATTTCTTCATTTGCCCTCATTTCTTCATTTGCCCTCATTTCTTCATTTGCCCTCATTTCTTCATTTGCCCTCATTTCTTCATTTGCCCTCATTTCTTCATTTGCCCTCATTTCTTCATTTGCCCTCATTTCTTCATTTGCCCTCATTTCTTCATTTGCCCTCATTTCTTCATTTGCCCTCATTTCTTCATTTGCCCTCATTTCTTCATTTGCCCTCATTTCTTCATTTGCCCTCATTTCTTCATTTGCCCTCATTTCTTCATTTGCCCTCATTTCTTCATTTGCCCTCATTTCTTCATTTGCCCTCATTTCTTCATTTGCCCTCATTTCTTCATTTGCCCTCATTTCTTCATTTGCCCTCATTTCTTCATTTGCCCTCATTTCTTCATTTGCCCTCATTTCTTCATTTGCCCTCATTTCTTCATTTGCCCTCATTTCTTCATTTGCCCTCATTTCTTCATTTGCCCTCATTTCTTCATTTGCCCTCATTTCTTCATTTGCCCTCATTTCTTCATTTGCCCTCATTTCTTCATTTGCCCTCATTTCTTCATTTGCCCTCATTTCTTCATTTGCCCTCATTTCTTCATTTGCCCTCATTTCTTCATTTGCCCTCATTTCTTCATTTGCCCTCATTTCTTCATTTGCCCTCATTTCTTCATTTGCCCTCATTTCTTCATTTGCCCTCATTTCTTCATTTGCCCTCATTTCTTCATTTGCCCTCATTTCTTCATTTGCCCTCATTTCTTCATTTGCCCTCATTTCTTCATTTGCCCTCATTTCTTCATTTGCCCTCATTTCTTCATTTGCCCTCATTTCTTCATTTGCCCTCATTTCTTCATTTGCCCTCATTTCTTCATTTGCCCTCATTTCTTCATTTGCCCTCATTTCTTCATTTGCCCTCATTTCTTCATTTGCCCTCATTTCTTCATTTGCCCTCATTTCTTCATTTGCCCTCATTTCTTCATTTGCCCTCATTTCTTCATTTGCCCTCATTTCTTCATTTGCCCTCATTTCTTCATTTGCCCTCATTTCTTCATTTGCCCTCATTTCTTCATTTGCCCTCATTTCTTCATTTGCCCTCATTTCTTCATTTGCCCTCATTTCTTCATTTGCCCTCATTTCTTCATTTGCCCTCATTTCTTCATTTGCCCTCATTTCTTCATTTGCCCTCATTTCTTCATTTGCCCTCATTTCTTCATTTGCCCTCATTTCTTCATTTGCCCTCATTTCTTCATTTGCCCTCATTTCTTCATTTGCCCTCATTTCTTCATTTGCCCTCATTTCTTCATTTGCCCTCATTTCTTCATTTGCCCTCATTTCTTCATTTGCCCTCATTTCTTCATTTGCCCTCATTTCTTCATTTGCCCTCATTTCTTTCATTTGCCCTCATTTCTTCATTTGCCCTCATTTCTTCATTTGCCCTCATTTCTTCATTTGCCCTCATTTCTTCATTTGCCCTCATTTCTTCATTTGCCCTCATTTCTTCATTTGCCCTCATTTCTTCATTTGCCCTCATTTCTTCATTTGCCCTCATTTCTTCATTTGCCCTCATTTCTTCATTTGCCCTCATTTCTTCATTTGCCCTCATTTCTTCATTTGCCCTCATTTCTTCATTTGCCCTCATTTCTTCATTTGCCCTCATTTCTTCATTTGCCCTCATTTCTTCATTTGCCCTCATTTCTTCATTTGCCCTCATTTCTTCATTTGCCCTCATTTCTTCATTTGCCCTCATTTCTTCATTTGCCCTCATTTCTTCATTTGCCCTCATTTCTTCATTTGCCCTCATTTCTTCATTTGCCCTCATTTCTTCATTTGCCATCCATGCTTGCCCTCCGCCTGTGCTCATTTGCTCATCAGGGAACTTTGTTACAACAGCTTATCTGGCACCATCCCTGCATCCATCGGCAATCTCATAAGCCTCGATTACCTGTTAGTGCTGTTCCTCGTTTGTGCGACATCTGAACCCCAGTCAGAGCACGTATGCTTCTTGACGGCAGCATTCGTGCATGATGCACTAAACCTTCAGCCCAACTTGCATCAAGCTGTCTTTGCTTCGAGGCTTGACTGAACTGCTATAGCTCGACATACACTGAGTGCTGTACTGTTTTAAGCTTAAAGCGGGCGTTTTCGAGTTGGGACACCATACGAAGTTCGAACACATGTGATTCTATTCTTTCCTTTGTCCAAAAGAAGCCGGTTAAATTGCAAGTTTCTCGGTTTTAAATGGAGTCGGATGAGTGTGATCCCAACCACACGTAATTCATGACAAGAAACATCCATTTGAATCCGTCATCTCCAATTACTGGGATGTGCCGATGCAGTTACTCTCAGGTCAAACCCTCAACCTGCCCGATGGTTCTGGGGAAAATATTTTGAGATAAGAAACTTGAATTTAGGGTACATAGCTGTATAGGTCAAGTTAGAAGCACACTGTGTCCAGACTTTGCTTGGTGTCCTATTTTCAAAACCTTTATCTTAGTCCTATATCAAGCAGCAAGTATGTAGGACTGAGCATTCTGCTGAAAGGTCTGTCTGCCTGTGGGCATTCCTCCTTCCAGACGCCGAGTCCCTCCCTGCTCCTTTGCTGCTACGAATGCTGCTTCAGTATGGTCGTAGGAGGTGCCGTTCATACTCACAAACCCCTCTCTGGTCCTTTACTTCCTCTTTCCACCCCACTTCCGAGATGCAGGTGGTTGCTTGAAAACAATCTGACGGGCTCCATACCAGCAACGTTATCCAACCTTGTGCTTTTGACCAACTTGTGAGTGTTACTATATTCCTTAGGCTCACATTTTAACCTCTCGCTCCCTTTGTGGTGCCTGCCTCCCTCATCCGTCATATTGGTATAATATTGATTATTCTCCCACTATTGGAGTTCGTCATGTGATGTGATTATGTTTTGTTCTGTGATGTGAGGGGATGTGATGGGATGTGTTGGGATGGGGTCCGATGTGGTGCAATGTGATGAAACGGGATGCGATGTGATGTGACGTGACATGACGCGACGCGACGCGATGCGATGCGATGTGATGTGATGTGATGTGATGTGATGTGATGCGATGCGATGCGATGCGATGCGATGCGATGCGATGCGTTGTGATGTGATGTGATGTGATGTGATGAGATGTGATGTGATGTGATGTGATCTGATGTGATGTGATGTGATGTGATGTGATGTGATGTGATGTGATGTGATGTGATGTGATGTGTTGTCAAGTGATGTGATGTGATGTGATGTGATGTGATGTGATGTGATGTGATGTGATGTGATGTGATGAGATGTGATGTGATGTGATGAGATGTGATGTGATGTGTTTTCATGTGATGTGATATGATGTCACATTATTCCACACCCCTTTGCATTCTCCTTATTCTCCTCAACAGCACCCACCACAATGCAAGCCCTTGTCCTTAAGCGACGATGTTTCCAGTACGCTTATCTGTCTAGTTGACCTTAGAACCTACTGGGATTCATCTTGAATCTTTCTACTTGTCATTTCCTGCACTGCCACAGCCATAGCCTTGTTGCACGGTGCAAGTGTTTCTGAGCAAGTGAGGAGGCAATAGAGCTTAACCGCCTGAAGTGTCCATGAGCGACCATGAGAGACTATGGGCGACCATGAAACACAATGTCATTGTTCTCCTCTCGTTGTGCATGTAGGCATGCCTTATGCACGCCTTTTGATGCTTGTGCATGCCTAGTGGTGAGCTAGTGCATGCATGCCCAGTGCATGCCTGTGTGTTCATCCCTTATGCATGGCCTATGCACTCCCCACTTGCATGACACTCGTCTCTCTCGGCCACCAGAAACCTTGGCTACAACGACTTGACAGGCACCATTCCTGGATTTCTTGGAAACCTCCCAAAGCTTTCCCGCTTGTGAGTGACGCTGGGTTGACATGTGAACCATATCACATCCGCACCACATGGGACATGACCTGCATCAGAACATCACCACGTGCCATGTGACATGACATCCACACCACATGCCATGGGACCTGCATCACATCCACGCCACATGCTTAATCTTGCACCCTCGTAAGTAAGTCATCTCCAACTTGCAAGTCTTCTTGAGTGCTCCGCACGGTACGCTCTCCTCTGTGATCAACAAGTGCCACCACTGACTGAAGCCCTCACATGCCTCTCCTTCACCCATTCACTGTGGCCCCTTAAGTTTGCTGCTATGGTGTCTACCACTGTCTACCCACTATCTACTCCGCTCATACACTTTTCTCCCATGGAAAGCAGATACCTACATATGAACAACCTGACTGGCTCGATACCAGCCTCACTAGGCAAACTTTCAAATCTTGTAGATCTGTGAGTCTCTTGACTTGTTGTGAACCTCTTGACTTGGACTAAACATTGCACCTGCCGTTTTTATTGCTCCTAAGGCTCACAGCAACCCTACTAGACATGAGCACACGGGCGAACACCTGTTCGGTTCGCCTCGAACACTTATAGCCAAACGTCCACCAGGAAGGAGGAAGTTGAGGACGGCAGGAAGAAGAGAGAGACTTCACGTCATATGTCACCACTTGCTTGTTCGTGTATCTTGAAGCTTCACATGAGCATCCGTGATGGGATGGCTTGAATCCTCAAGACGTGCTTTGCCATGAAAGCATGCAGCCATGCCGCCCCTGCCATGAGTGCATGCAGCCGTGTCACCCCGCCATAAATTGACAGGACAGATTATTTACGGCCAACTGTACCTTGCGATGTCAAACTCACCAGCATCTTCATGTATTACACTCTTTAGAAAATGGACTGGTGAACCTCAGGACACAATGCGAAGAATAAAATATTATCTTTAGTAGGAAGATGGCATGGCACAAGCCATGTCCTTGTCCAACGATAGTTCTAAGGAAGTGGTGAATCATATATATATGGCTGAACTCTTGAGTTTGCTGCAGCACCGGGCTACCCAAAAAAACGAGTTTGGATAAGTACTAAGTGGTGAATCATGTATATATGGCTGAACTCCTGAGGCTAGCTGCAGCACCTCAAATTTGAAAACAAGGCTAGCCAACCTTGCTAAGTTAGGAAGTGAGGCTCCAGCACCCCCCTCCCCACCTCCAGCGCCCCGATCCCCACCTCGAGCACCCCCGTCTCCAGCGTCCATCTCCCCAACAACAGCGCCCAACACAACGGGCCCATCCTCCTCCTCTTTCAGCACCCCCATCGCACCCGAAGCGCCTCCCTCCCAGTCGGGAGGCGGTCTCTCTGTGGGAGCCATTGCCGGCATTGCTGTGGCTGCTGTGATGCTTCTGATCATTGGCGTGCTGCTGCTGTGGTGGTGGAGGGGTCACACAGATCGGGCAGCACGTGCAGCAAGTACAGTATCCATAACCCTAAACCCGAAACCCTGAATTTGAAGCCATAGACTTTAAAGTCAAGGGAGGGACCTGGAAGTCTGGAAACACGTCTTCTCTTCTTCCTCCATCCATTGCTCCTCCTCCTTCGGCCCTTCTCCCTCTCTTGGTCCCGCCTGTCTCTCATCTTGGCATAAGCAATGGACAAGATTGGGTCGGGCTGATTATGCGAGGCACCTAAAAAAGTGGGCTGATATTGCCTGTCACCCCTTTTCTTCACCTCACACTATCACAGGCCGAGGTCGCAGCATGTCGGGCGCTCAATGCGCAGAGTAGGCACCAAGTGCGGCACACTCATGCACCTCAATTTCACCCCTCAACCCTTGTGCTTTGCCCCACTATGACAGGCCGGGCTCGCAGCATGTCGGGTGCTCACTGCGCAGAGTACTCCCTGGAGGAAGTCCTCAAAGCCACCAGCAACTGGTCCTCTGACAACCAGCTTGGCTCGGGTGCCTTTGGTGACGTGTACAAGGGCGTGTGTCCACACGATGGCACCACCCTGTGGGCCGTCAAGCGAGCCAAACTGATTGACGTGGAATTCCACAAAGAGGTGGGTCTGACTGAGTTTGCTCGTTTCTATTTCCGAGGTTCCCCCCAAAACGGTTCCAGAGCCTTTGGTGTTGTGTACAAGGGCGTGACTCCGCACGATGGACCGTCGAGAGAGCCAAGCTGATTGCCATTATGACTTTAATAGGCCGTTTAATAGGCCTTTAATAGGCACGATTCCACTTTGGCTACAATGTGAGCTGCCAGAAACTGCTCCTTTCTGGCTACGAGTCTCGTTGCATTCCATTCTACCATGGCATGCCTTTCGAGGTGGCTCGTTGCACTCGAACACGTTCGTGGCGAACCGAACATGTTCGGTGTTCGCCCGAACATGTTCGGTGTTCGTTCGTCGCGGAAGCCCGAGCCGCGTCGAACACGAACACGTTCGTGTTCGTTTCAGGACAAAACGAACACGAATGTGCTCGTCGCGAATGTCCCGCTACCCAAGTGTTTAGGTCGACGCGAAATGCAGATCGAGCCTACACTAGCAGCAACCGAGTCGTATACGTGTTCCTAGTTCGCATCTTCCTGGTTTAGGTTAGTCAGACTTAGGCGCCAGCGTGGCATTCCGCCATCAGATCCTCGTGGATCCGGCATTCGCTTAAATGAAGCTGGAAGCGGGACCCAACATTAGGTTTGCCCAATTCCACTTTCCACATGATTTAGGGATAATGATTGTTGCCCTCTGGCGAACACGAACGTGTTTGGCACGAACACGTTCGTGTTCGCCTGCGTCAGCAAGGTGTTCGCCTTCACAGGCGAACGGCGAACACCGTTTTTTGCTAAAGCTGTTCGACGAACCGAACAGTGTTCGGTTCGCCGAACGGCGGTGTTCGTGCAGGGGCGAGCGCGAACACGTTCGTGTTCGCCTCTTGCTCAAGCCTATTTCGAGGCACTCCTAAGTCATTCTAAACCCTAAACCCTGTCTATGTGTTTAACTGTCTTGCCACACATAACGCGCAGCCCACCTCGGCATGCCTCTTCCATTCCAGTAAGCCACATGAAAACATTTTGTTACACTTGTTTCTCGTCCGGTCCATCCCATGCTGACGTGTTCCTGTCCATTTTGTTCCCTTCTCCATTGTTCCTCGCAGGTCCAGCAAATGGCCGACAAGAACCATCCCAACATCGTGCGGCTGCTTGGTTTTGCTATTGGAGGAGACATGAGGACACGGCCAGAGCAGATCTTGATCTACGAGTTTGTTTCCAACGGTGACCTTGACCACTATATCAAGAAGGGTACGCACCACGTATTTATCTGAAATCATTCTGAATCTCTTGATTACACTCTATTCATGAAGATACAGACTGTGACCTTTACTAGTACTGGTATAGCAAGAAGGTTACGCGCGTACCACGTCTTGTTTCTGCTAACTAGAATTGAGCACCTCACTGCGTCTCCCAACGTTTGTAACTCATATCTCTCACTCTCATGTTCTCTCGCGTTCCTTCCTCGATTCTCTCGTCCTGTGCGTGTGTGCATCTGTGCATGTGTGCATGTGTGCATGTGTGCATCTGTGCATCTGTGCATGTGTGCATCTGTGCATGTGTGCGTGTGTGCATCTGTGCATCTGTGCATGTGTGCATGTGTGCATCTGTGCATGTGTGCATGTGTGCGTGTGTGCATCTGTGCATGCAGAGGCGTCCTCCTCTCTCACCTTCCAGCAGCGACTGGACGTCCTCATCGGTGCGGCACGTGGCTTTGAGTACCTCCACAGCTTTGGCCTTGTGCATCGCGACATCAAACCCGCCAACATCCTCCTTGGGGCAAAAATGCAGGCAAGCAAGAGCGTTGAGGCGAACACAGTAAAGCTGTCATGTGGAAGATGTCAATCAAATCGATACAAAGAATATGATTGATACATCCGAATAAATACAGTATTACTATGTTTATATATTGAAGAAAATACGCAGATTGATGCATGCGTTTCAACTGCGCGACAAGTGAACATTGACTTGATAGAAGTTAGGCAGCGTTTTGCTAGTATGCCAGGTGCTATGTGTGTATAATATATTATCAGGAAGAAACTCGGAATAATTAAGGGAGAAAAAGAACCCAAAATGGGATGAGGATCAAAGAACCTTGAATTGCACATACAGCTCTCTTTCTGTTTTCAGTGGTGATCAGCTCTACACAATATTGATCAGCAATCTTAAGTCCTTGTCCATTTTTTCCTCACTCATTCTTTGTCCCACTTTCAATAACTATTCCATCCGCCAGGCCAAGATTGCTGACTTTGGGCTGTTGAGGGTGGGGGAGGGCACCGCTGTCGGCACGACTCGGGTGATGGGGACACCGGGCTATGTGGATCCCATCTACTCACGCACGTCCAAGGCCACCACTGCCACCGATGTGTACAGGTGAGCTACTTTTGAGACATCTCACAATGCAACCATTGCAAGCCACCGATGCCGGCAACCACGGGAAAAATGTCGTAATTGGAAATTTTCAGGATTATGAACGCGTCACCTGGGAGCTGAACTGATGATCTGGCAGTTTGTAAGCGCCTCAAAAGTGCTGGACAGTGCTTTTGCGACTCAAAGCTCTCACTCCCACCAGTGTGACATCCTGTGTGATGCACCCACCTCTCTGCTGCTTCGGTGTGCTCATGCTCATGATGCTCATCGGCTGTAGCCACCCTTATCTGAGTCGTTTTTTAGTATTCTCATATCTGACCTAATGATGGGAAGTGCACCACCCCTGACTGATGATGTTGTCATCCTTCCTTCCCTCCGTGTCATCCTTTCTCCCTCCTCCTCTGTGTGTGCAGCTTCGGTGTTCTCATGCTTGTGGTGCTTACCGGCCGTAGCCCCCATACTGGTGATGGTGAAAGGAATGGGCACATTCTGCGATGGGTAGGTGCTGCTGCTTTGTGTGCAGTAGAGGGGGTACAGAGCACGTAAGGTATGCAGCAGTAGAGTCAGCTTGCTCTGCTGATGGTCGCATTCTTCGACACGTGAGGTACGTGCTGCTGCCTTGTGTCCGCAAAGGAGGAGCTTTCAGGTAGATCTCCGGGCGATTGCTAAGGTGGGTACGTGCTGCTGTTTTGTGCGCTCCAGAGGTCGCAGTTACATGGCACACAAGTGACTTCCAAGTTGGCTGCAGATCTAGCGCACACAGCCAAAAGTGGAAGAAGCAGCCGCGATGGGTAGGTGTTTCTGCGTGTAACGCGTATGCGACAACAGGTTAGACGTATAAAGCACTCAATTAGGCCCCTGTGATGCACAGGACTTGTTGCTTCCAGGCAAGCACGTGAGGCGTCACAATGGCATGATGGCGTAATGACACGACTTCTCATAACTTCCCCCGTCCCCACCGTGATGGCATGATGTCTCCTTGATCAATCAGTTAAGTGTAGTCATGCCTCATTTACCCTCCCGTCATTCAACAACCATTTTGCTGACTATGCACGTGTATCCCTCTTGTTGCTCAATTAAACCCGTCAGGCCGAGGATTGCATTTCCTCCAAAAAAACTGACCTTCTCAAGGACGTGAGCATGGACGCCCCGGATGATGCTGTGCTGCGCCTGGCCCAGCTGGCTCTCCGCTGCACTGTGCAGTGCACTGCAAGCCGGCCCAGCATGGCAGACGTTGCCAACGATCTGCAGGGAATCAGGCACGAGGTGGTGGGGAAGGAGGAGCTCAGCGCAGCGGTCAGGGTGGACGCGCAAGCAGAGGGAATGCGTAGTGGGACGTCGTACCCCAATAACTTGGCTGCAATGTTGCAAGCTATTAAGGGCATGGAGGAAGACAAATGAATTCTATCTTCTGTAACTGGTTTACATGGATTTCAATGGTGTCACTGTACATGATTTTATCAGGGAGATGGATGAGGGGAGAGAGTGGGGGTGGCTTTTAGGATTCAGCTGGGATTGGTGACAAGGTAAGGTGTCAAAAAACACATTTGTAGTTATATGTGTATTCTAAAGGATAGGTTAGGTTTGACTATAGGGAGTAGTTTTTGTTAGGTATGTCAACCATATCCCTCCGTACTAGTAATTCTTTCTATTTCTCACATGGTATCACGAGTATGTTAGGTCGTCCCCGCTTCGCCTACCCTATCCCGCCCCTAGCATGCCCCCTAGTGCGCCCCCTACCGCACCTAGAGCGGCGTCCTCTAGTGCGCCCTAGCACGCCCCTCCTAGCACCCCTAGTGCTGCCCCTTAGTGCGATCGCTCGCGCCCCACCTGGCGACCCCTTCGCACCCCGCCCTAAGCCTTGTGGCGCCCGGCCCTTGCGCCCCGCCTTAGGCCCCGTCGCCCCAGCCACGCCTTCCGTCGCGCTACCACCTGCTGTCGCCTCTCTAGCCGTGCCTGTCGCTGCTACGCTAATCGTGCCTGCTGCCGCCGCTGCTTGCGCCACTACTGCTGCACCGCGCCCGCTGCTGCCGCATGTACCGCCGCCGCTGCTCGCGCCCGCTGCTGCCGCGCGTGCCGCTGCTGCTGCTGCTGCTGCTTGCACTGGTTGCCGCTACACACCCGCTGCAGTGCCCGCCACTACTACTATTGCCGCGTGCGCCGCCGTTGCTGTTGCCCCTGCCGTTGCTGCCACGCGCACCACCACATGCGCTACCGCTGCTACTTCGACAGTCGGCGCACCCAGCAGCCGCGCTGCCAGCCCGTCGTCAGACCCTGCCAGCCGCTCGCCGTCTGTGCCGCCTGCGCCGCCCGAGCCGCATGAGCCGCCCGCGCCGCCTGTGCCGCTTGCGCCAGACCGCGCCACCGCACCGATCTCACGCCTGGCGTGCGGGCCCCTCCCCCCTTGCATTTTAGAGCATCCGTTTTCCTCCTCCTGTGGCCATTCTACCGGTTATCTGCTACAGCTGTGCACCTGCTTCTTACTATTATGGTGACTGACTCGATGCTGCGTTTTGATGCAGAGAAATGTCCAGTGGAATTTCCGTCGTGGCTGCTCGATGTCCATTCTACTTGTAGGGCCAGCTTCAGCTGAACGAGCACGCTTCTGGTGAGCTCTCAGCCGCGCCATGTCCTGATGCTCCTGCTGCTGACACCACTCCTGACCAGCGGAAGGATCACCGCAAGGGTGGTCGCAAACAGTAGTAGTCGCAGTAGCAGCGGCAGTCGCAGCAGAAGCAGCAGCCACTGCAGCAGCAACAGTAGCAGCGGGTCCAGCAGTGGGCCTCTCAGCAGCAGTGGAAACCTGGTGTCCCGAGGAGTGTCGGTAGATACGATACGATACCTTGAGAATTAGGTTAGGCATTTGTTAAACCCATTACCGTGTACCGGTATGTTTGGCAAAGGGCGGAATGGCCTCATTGATTTCGATGTTTAGGGATGCTACGAATATGTAGTTGCTGTAAAAAAACACGGTTAGGGTGTGGAAGATCTGAAATCGGCCAAATCTGACTGGCCGGTTTTGGCGAAAGTAACCTGGTTGCGACAGTCGTACACAAATTCACGAAGATTCCTAAATCCGGCCAACTCTTTGGAAATCTGATGGCCGTTTCAAAGAGTCAACAACTATCCGGCCAAATGGTCGACTCGATTTCGGCCACGTTGTCGACATGACGTGCAACCGTGCTCTTGCGATGTCGCACATTGGAGCCAGCGATTGAACGCATCATCTAGACCGCAGATCTGATTGTGCGACACCATCACAGCAATCTGGCCAAAACTCCGACTGCAAATCTGCCACATCTGGTAAGCGGCCATCAAATCGGCCACCAGATGTGTCAGTTTTGAAATGTTTATTTTGAAGGCCGTACAATTTTCGGCAATGGGTCGCCAAATGAGCCGATGTGCGCGAAACAAATTGACAACCATATGGTCGACAAATAACCGGCCAAAACTTTTTTTTTTCGCGGATCTTACACGCCGTTAAAATGGCGAGCATAGGTTCGGCCAATGTAGAGCCTGACTTATCACTAAACCATTATAAGCCCACGTTTGCATATCTTGGAATTTTATACTCGAGGGTTACTTCTTCTACCGAGGGTCTTTATAAACACACCTCGGCTTGCCAAATGTATACCATTCGTGGGCAGTTGCCCCACCGACAAAGTGACGTCCATCAATCAGGGCGTATTCCTGGCTTTGGGTCATCCGCTCTTTGGGTCATCCCGAATTTATTTTCCCGAACCGCGGGTTTTCCGATTCGGGACGTGGCGGGCTTCGACGAACTGGGTGTACGAAATGAGTTTGGCCTGAGTAAAAATTCCGCAGAGCTACTGTACGACATTTCTGGTAGCGCGACAAAATTCCTTCAATGTGCAGAAGCATTGAAATTTTAGTCAGGAATCTAGTCGTGCCAAAATCGTAATCGCTCGCCAGCTTGTTCTGGCGATCGCAGCTCAAACTGACAATAGTAACGAAGAAGGGGCAGGGAGTGGCTGAGGCAAGACAGGAACACCGAAGAAGAAGAGAGACGGAAGGAAGGGCGGATGGCGAGCAGAGGCAGTTTTCCGACAGCTGTCACCGAATATGCATGATTATGCACATAAGGTGCCAGATTGTGTGGTGTAGTTGTGGGTGTAGCACTACAGAGTATACACATTCGAGGTGTAGGTAGTTGGGGACCAGGGAGAATGACGCGAGGTTGGTAGGAGAGCACCAAGGGGTGGAATCCAAGGAACCAATGTGAACAAACCAACCCAGGCTCGAGGCGCACAATGAGAAATGCACGGTTCGAGCCTGGGCCAGGTAAATTCACTCACACACACACACCCGATGCTTTTCTCTTGTTATCCTTTCGTATAGTGGATGACGGTTACCTCAGTTCTAGCAGCCAGGTGATATACAACTCAGGGAGGACCCCCGAGGTGAGAGTCCCGTCACTTTCATAACAAGAAAAAAGGAGTGCGTGCATGCAAGGATGGACGTATATGAGCTGCGTTATGGCAGGACCTGTGGTCGTCGCGAGGAGGATCGCTCACGGCGCGGACGCTCGCATGAGCGTGGGCAATCGCTGGAGAGGTCGCCGCGGAGGCCAGGGCGATCGCCGCGAAGGCCTGCCTTTCGCGCGGATCAGGTGCCTCTCGTGCCCGAGCGCTGAGAGGTAGGATTCGCACGAGAAGGAGCGGGCAGATCGGGATCGGCCATGGTGGGAAGTGATCCGTGGCGGACGGAAGCGCGCCATGGAGCAGGTGGCGATCACGGGTATCGTCAGGAGACGGGAGCGTATCGCTCGCCGGAAGCAAGCTATCGCCGTCGCGAAGATCGGAGTGGCGGGCGAGGCTTGGAGGGACTGTTTTCGGGCCAAGAGGGAGACCTCAACGCTGACGGAGAAGGAGAGGACGATGCGGCGGATACCTCGCAGGTATCAGAACGTGAGGACGTGGCGGAAGACGGCGGCGAAGTTCGGAAGGAGGGCGCAGGCGAGCAGCGCGACATGCCCGCGGAAGCAACTGAGGCAGACCCTGCGAAGGCAGGTGAGGTGGCAGAGTCAGGCAAGGGGGAGACAGGCGGAACTGGCGGCGTACAAAGCGCGCGCGAGCAATCGCACGTCTCCGGGCAGCAGGCGCGGGGCGGGGAGCAGAGTGGCGACGAGCCGCACTCGCCAGATCGACGTCAGCAGCTTGACGGAAGGCGGGGAAACGGTCCGCGCGCGCCAGATCTGCATCCGCATCGTGACGAGAGGAGGGGAGGCGGGTCGCGTTCACCGGATCCGCGTCAGCATCGTGGCGGGAGGCGGGGAGGCGGGTCGCGCTTGCCGGATCCGTGTCAGCGTCATGGCGGGAGGCGGGGAAGCGGGTCGCGCTCTCCGGATCCGTGGCAGCACCGCAGCGGGAGGCGGGGAGGCGGGTCACGCTCGCCGGATCCGTATCAGCAGCACGGCGGAAGGCGGGGAAGCGGGCCACGCTCGCCGGATCTGCGCCAGCACCATGAGGGGAGGCGGGGAGGCAAGTCGCGTTCGCCAGATTCACATCGGCACCATGGCGGGAGGCAGGGAGGCGGGTTGCGCTCGCCAGATCCATATCAGCAGCACGACGGAAGGCGGGGAAGCGGGCCACGCTCGCCAGATCTGCGCCAACACCATGAAGGAAGGTGGGGAGGCAAGTTGCGTTCGCCAGATCTGCACCAAGAACGTGGTGGGAGCAGGGGAAGCGAGTACCGCTCGCTGGATCGGCGTCCGCATCGTGATGAGAGGCATGGAGGCGGGTCTCGCTCGCCAGAACGGGATCTGCAGCAAAGACAGGGAGGGAGATGGGAGGAGGAGTGGCGTCAGCAAGACAACCGTCGCGGGCAGGAGGGAAGGAGAGATCATCGATCCCCGACACCTGAGAAGCTCTGGCAACACCGAGGGCGAGGGGAAGAATGGGCGCGTGCGCGTTTCTCACCAGATCGGCGAGGAAAGATGGGTGGAGAAAAAATGCTATGGGAAGCAAGACAGGATTAGCACAGAAGCAAAGGTGTATAGTATGGAGCGCGCCAGAGAAGCACGGAAGGGAATCGAGCGGGCTAGAGGTGGAGGAACGTCAGGAAGGCAGGAAAGGGGGGCAAGCGAGTCATGGGGCGAGGGGCGCGGGAGTGCAGCGATGGTCACGCGAGTGGAAGTGCAGGCGCGGTTCTCAGGAGACCAGCGCGTGGGGCCTACACTGAAGAATTACCTGATGCAAGTAGGGAACGTGAGATACAGGTGCGAGAGGAGTGGCATGGATGCGGTAGATTTCTTCCTGAGTCTGCCGAACACACTGGAGGGGGAGGCAAAGACGCAGTATAGAATGAAGATGGATGAGTTGCTAGAGAGGGCGGGAAGGTATGGGGAAGACCCCACGAAAGCATTCCTGAAGCGGCTGCAG